GTAGCACAGGGACCTCCAGCGAGGCCGCTGCCTGCGCCCGCAGAGCCGGAGCTCGCTGTCCCGGGACCCGGAGCCAGAGCTGCTCCGCCCGGTAGGTCTAAGAGCCCGAGTACGGGAGGCCCTGGGAACTACGAGTCCCAGCGTGCCCTGCGCCCCACTCATGCCCCGATCGCAACCCCTGGCGAGTGTCGGCTTCGGCTGGGCCCCAGGCGCCCGGGACAGAGCTGCAGTCCTTTGGCCTCGTCACGGCTGCCCCAAACACTTTACCAACGCTCCTTGTCCCAGCCGCTGGGGATCCAGAGCGACCCGAGCCCTGCCCTGGGGCTGCTGCGGGTCCGGGGAACAGACCGCCGCGCGCCAGCGGCTTGGTTACTGCTTTGAGGGCGTAGGAAGGCGGGGACTCCAGAGGGTCTGTGTCTTGTCCAAGGTCACACACCTTCTGCTGCCTGAGGGCTATTAAGCCCGAGTCGAGATGGTGTCGGGGGCAGGAAGGAGATGTGGGTGTAGGAAACTGGCCTTGGATAGAGGGAAAATGGGGAATTCGGCTGGATTCATCTCTCCCTGGGTCTGCCAGGCACCCCCATTCTTACAGCCCCCGATTTTCATCACCGGATGATGTGGTGATGGTACCTGGCTCCTTCCTCTGCAGACCCTGCGGGTTCCAGTGGTGAGAGCTACAGCGGGGAGGTAGTCAGAAAGGGGAGCCCCTCCCAACGCCCTACCCTCAAAGCTCACACATTCAAGCGCAGACCCAGACCCAGAAAGCCAGGCAGGTACCGCCGAAGATGCACACACAAGTGAGAGCCACTATTGACTCATTGAGGTAGGTATAATCACCCCCATTTTACACCTGGACAAACTGTGAGCCTCATAGAGGTGGTGACTTCCTCAAGGTCACCAAGCTGATAAAAGGCAGAGCCAGGGTCCAAGCCTCGGTGGGCTGGTTTCAGAGGCTCTGTATTTAACCATCAGTGTATGCCTGCCCCCTCAGTAGCCTATAGGAGATGAACAGCAGTGCTACACACACTAAGTGCTCAGTAAATGTCATCTGTCATTAGTGTTGTCATCATCCTGGTTTTACAGATGAGACTGAAGAAGAGTGAGACCACGTAAGTGACCAAGTCTCAAAGCTGGAGCCAGAGTGCTGCAGCCCTGAAGCCAGACCTGGGAACACCTTTACAGACACTCTGCCCTCCCCCATATGCACAAACAGCCTCTGCTTTTTAGGGGAGACAAAGCTTGGGGCTCAGGTGTGTTCAGGCCTGTCCTGAGCAGAGAGGACTTGGCAGGGGGCCTGTCAACCCCCAGCCTGGAGCGTGAGGCTCAAGTCTGATGCCCTGGGGTAGCTGGGAGGTCTGTGTCCTGAGCTGGCTTTACCAGGCTGTGTTGTGTGTCCCTGGATGGTCCCTCAATCTCTACGTTCTGCCAGCTCCACTTGGGAAGGCCCTGCATCTGGAGGAGAGCTTGAGGGGTCTTAGAAAAAAGGAGTGGAGTACTTTCTGATCCTGATGGAGGGAAAGAGGCAGCCAGCTGTCCAGGTCTTAGGTAGGCAGATGGAGCAGGGGAGGGCTCCAGCAGGAACCGATGACCCCACCTTCTTCCTGCCTGCACAGAATCCCTCCCATCTCCTGCAGAGGAGGCCTGGGAGTGGAAGCTGGATTGTAGCATCCAGTACTTTGCACTCGAGGGACCAGGATTCAAATCCCTCTCTGCCACTCTTCCACTCTGGGATCTGGAGAGTCTCTTGCCCCAGGACATCTGTGCTTTTGATTATTGAGCAACACTTGGGGACCCTGTGTTGGCATTTGCATTGCATGCACCAAACTTAATGTTCGTTTAAAATGTGATCCCAGGTTTGCCCCTTGATGGCTGTGTGATGGTGGGTGAATCATATCCTCTCTTGCCCAAGCTTCTTGGAGCAAACACTGGTACCTAGCTCTTAGGTCATTGGAAGGACCAATGAGATGATCAGGGTAGGATTTGCCCAGATCATGCAGAAGACTCTAGAACCCTGATTTCTCCACAGAGCTTCGAGGCAGATGCCTGGGCAAGAGTGAGCCACCCCCACCTGGGCCACACTTTTGGGATCTGTGGCAAGGGGAGTCATTTCCTTAGCCACTTTCCTCATCTGTGTAAGGTGAAAGTAACAGAACCTGCCTTCAAGGGAGTGGGGGTGGGATGATAAGAATGGGGCACAGAGTAGGCATGCAGGCCGTTGGGCCCACGTTGGGGTTCCAAAGCATAAGACTTGTCAGTGAACCTGAGAGGAAAGTCCAGACTTCTGACTTCTCTGGGAAATCTGGTAAAATTGAGCCTCCCTCCCTCTTGCTCCAGAGTGATTCTGCATGCACCCAGCAAGGTTTTTCAGAGGGAGATGTGTTATTGGCCTCCGGTCCTCGGGGGAACCCAGAGGTCTGTGGGAATTTACTGAGGGCCTCCCAGGGGCGTAAACTAGAGGGTCATGCATGAGAGAACACAGGGCAAGGATTTCCTGGCCCTGAAGCATCAGGGGCAAGGAAGGGCAATACAGAGTCCCTTCCTTGGGCATCCAAGGAAGTGTGAGCCAGGCCCTGCTGCGGGTAGGGAGAGCAGTTCCATGGAGATACCTTCTGCCATCCTGATGTGATGTGATAATAGTCATGCCGTATATTGAAGAAGCCAGCAGATGGTCAGGAGAGGCTCCGAGGAGGCAGCCTTTGAGCTGAGCCCCGAAGGTTGAGCAGGGTTTGGCCAGAGGTGAGTAGGGGTGTTGAGGACATTTTAGACTGAGAGAATGGCACAGTCAGAGGCTTGGTGGCTTCAAAGGAGTAACTGGATTGTGGAGTGGTTACTGGAGTCGCTTTCTGAGGGTGGGGAGTGGTAAAGGATTTTCACATTGTGGCCTCGGGCAAGTCACTTCACCTCCTTGAGCCTCAGATCCTCAACCATAAAATGAGACTGGTTACCCCTGTGGTGTCTGCCTCTCAGTGAAGGCTGAATGTCAGTGCAGTTAAAAATGCTGTATCCTCTTCCGCCAGGAGGAGATTATTTATTTATTTATTTTTGGCTGTGTTGGGTCTTCGCTGCTGCGCACGGGCTTTCTCTAGTTGCAGCGAGTGGGGGCTACTTTTAGTTGCGGTGCGCGGGCTTCTTGTTGCAGTGGCTTCTCTTGTCGCAGAGCACAGGCTCTAGGCGCGCCGGCTTTGGTAGTTGCGGCACGCGGGCTCAGTAGTTGTGGCGCATGGGCTGTAGAGCACAGGCTCAGTAGTTGTGGTGCACGGGCTTCGTTGCTCCACGGCATGTGGGATCTTCCTGGACCAGAGACTGAACCCGTGTCCCCTGCTTTGGCAGGCGGATTCTTAACCACTGTGCCACCAGGGAAGCCCAGAAGGAGATTACTGAGTGAGACACGAAGCAATCATAACAGGGTTGTGTGCAAATTAAATGGCATGAAGTGAAGGTCAGGGTGTGTCTAGGCCTGAGTTCAGAGACAGAGGAGTTCAGTACAAGCTAGAGACTTCACAGCTTCCTATAAGAGGTGAGATGGGAGCAGAGCCTCAAGGGACAGAGAAGAGGAATGGATTCGTAGGAAGGAAGAGAGAGAGCATCTCAGGCAGGGAAGGCCAGAGGGAGCACTGCCATGGTCGTGGGAGAGAGGCTGGGGAGAGGTGAGCCTGAAAAGTTTGGTAAGGGGGGCTTCCCTGGTGGCGCAGTGGTTGAGACTCCGCCTGCCGATGCAGGGGACGCAGGTTCGTGCCCCGGTCCAGGAAGATCCCACATGCCGTGGAGCGGCTGGGCCCATGAGCCATGGCCGCTGAGCTTGCGCGTCCAGAGCCTGTGCTCCGCAACAGGAGAGGCCACAGCAGTGAGAGGCCCGCGTACCGCAAAAAAAAAAAAAAAGTTTGGTAAGGGAAGCTTGTCTTGTTAAACAGAGCCCTGAAAGCCAGGCATTAGGGAGCCATTGCAGGTTCTATCCCTACACAGGCAAGCAGGGGGGTGGTCTTAACAATGTAGGCAGTTTGAATGTGGGAAGGATTTTCTGATTGCTTTTACAGAGTGAGAAAAATAAAAGGTTGGAAGGGATTTAGGAGAAGGGACAGTTGCTGATAAGGAGATGGTTAGAGAAACGCAACCCCATTTATTCTCATGCACACGTAGTTTAACTATGATGGATAGAGTTTGGCATTCCAGGTAACATCTGTAGCACTGCATCATGAACTTGATCTTCTGTCCTTAGAGATATGCAAACATATCTCTAAGTGGGTACCATTTTCAGTCATTGTGTTGCTGGCTGCCATCCACATTGTGGTGTCAGATTGTTGCTGGTCTAAACAACACTTGGATAAGCATGTCTGTTCCCCAGCTTCCTTCTGGATTATTTCCACTGGATACCCTTTCCAAAGGGGGATTTCTGACTCTAAAGGAACACAAGTTTTTTATGGCTTAAAATATTTAAAACATACTCTTTCACAGTAATTTTCTTTAGAATTTTCAGTAGGTTATACTGTATAGAGTTTTTCTTGTTTTGTTTTTAAGGAGCAAATGTACAAAAGTGTATACAATAAAAAGTCTATCCTGACCCAGCGCTCTCCTCCAGTTCTCCCTGAGGACAGTTATTAATCAGTCTCCTGTATATCCTTCCAGGAATATTCTATATACAGATACTGTATATATCCAATTTTTAAAAACATTGATACTGTTATACTCTGTTCAGTATCTTTCTTTCAGTTTTTAAATTTGGGATTATGAAATATACCAAAGAAGCATAGAAAATCACACACACACACCCAGCAACCCCACCACACAGGCTTAACAAATGTTTAACATTTTTTGCTGGTATCTTGTTTAGGGCTGTGCTGGAGGTAACCCTATGTCAGTGCAGCTGCATACAGAGGAGTCCAGTTATTGATTATATGCATAATTTATTTGACCTGTTCCCAGCTCCCAGCTTTTTTTTTTTTTTTTTTTTTTTTTTTTGCTATCGATGTAGAGATAATACCCCACTTTGTATAACGTCTGCCTGGGGAGGCGTCGAGGCAAAGGGGAACGACGCTGGGCTTTGGCTTGGGTTCAAGTATCTGCTCGGCCACTCTTCCTCGCTTTGTAACCTGGGGTGAATGACACCCCTCTTGATTCTACCCATCTGTAAAATGGGCAGGTTGTAGTAATGCGTCTCATAATTGCTAGGAGTACAGTAGAAAACTAAAGACTTCATTGGGTTTAGTTCCCCAATCCCCCTAAGCAGGGAGCTCTCCGAGGCCTCGCCTAGAGCAATTAGAGCGCGGGACGACTGCTGCTCCAGCTTCAAACTGTTCCCCGCCCTTTTCCCGGGCCACGCTGGGGGCGGGGTGTTTAAATGTCTCTGTGACGGCAACGCGAGCCGGGCCAATCCCTCCCGACAAGCGTTAGCTTATTTGCATGGGTTGCCCATTATTGGTTCGTTGGGCAATCCAACCCCTCCCAACTTTTTAAAGCCACCGCGCAGTATAAACAAGGAGATGCGAGGCGGCCAGGCCATGATGTCATCGCGGCGCAGTAGCTTTCGGGGCTGACGTCATCTCCGGGGAGGTTGCCGGCCCAGGGCTGTTAGAGCCTTCCTAACCACTCGGACTGGCTTAAGAGCCGCTCCTGCCCCGTCGAAGGTCAGGTCCATTGCACTTGTGTCCCAGGCGCCGTCCCAAGGAGGGGACCGTGACACAGTAAGTCCGGGCTGCGGCTCTCCCGGCGGGACCCACTTCTATGGCGGGGAAACTGAGCCTCAGAAGCATGAGTGATTTCTGAGTTTGCATAGCAAGTTAGAGTTACAGCCAATTTGTCTTGCTTACCGCGCTGTCTCCCGTCTTTAGGTCAGACCATGTGGCCCCGCCCCTTTCCTGTGATGGCTGCGGGCACTTTAAGTGAGGAGGTGGGGGCGAGAGGAGGTTTTAAAAAAAAAAAATCTGCCTTCCAAGATGGCGGCCCACTAATCACGTGCCGAGTCTCGGCGAATGATTGGCTCTTGGCGCCCCCGAGGGGCGGAACTCTTAGCAAGGGGCGGGGCCCTCGCGGGGAGCAGCCGGCTACTGTTTGCCGGAACCTCCCGGCGCGCCCCCGCGAGCCCCCCTCCCGCCCGGCGCGCGACCCCGCCGATTCGAATGTTGTGAATCAAATGTGGGGTTTGTTACATTCCGCTGCCGCCGCGGACAGTTCTTAAAGGGCCAGTCGCCGGCAGCTGCGCAAACCCGGCCGCGTCCTGCGCCGCCTCCCGCTCCCAGAGGGCCTGGGCCGAGAGACTGACCGCGCGTGGGCCTCGCGAGGCAGACGCCCGGCGGACGGACAACAAAGAAAGAGGGCCCCGGAAGGAGCCGGACTGCCCCCGGACCGGGGGGGTGGGGAAGGGAGCACATTGTTCCTCAGGGCGGGGGCTCTTAAAGGGTCCAGGCAGCACACTCCCACCCACCCCCCGCCTCTTGCCCAGCTTGGCCGTCCTAGATCGGGAACAAAGGAGTCAACGTGTGGCCAGGCGGCCGAAGGTGAGTCGGGGCCAGAGCCTCCAGCTCCCGATTTCCGCATCCCTGGAATTCCTGCCCCCCCTTCCCCTGGGACTGAGGGCTGTGATCTAGCTGGCTCTGCAGGAGTTAATTACGGGCAGTCCGGAGGGGAGATGGCGAGGCCTCTAGAATCCGGGACCCCTCCCCACCCCCAGCGCCCCCCAAGGCCAGGCCGAGTCTCCCTTCTCCAGAGGCAGAGCGCTGCGGTTGGAGAGGAAGGAGCCGCCCCCTCCCCCTGCCGCCGCCACTTCCTTTGTTGTTGCTTTTGTCTCACGCCGAGCACATGGTCCGGGATCCTCGGCTCTTAAAGTCACAGCGCTCTGGCCCCGACGCCGCCGTATGGCCTCCAGCCCCCGATGTCCCTCCGAGCCCGGCACAAAGGAGTGAGAGGGGGACGAGGGAGGCCCCTCTCTGGGCGAGTATCTGTACCACGTCCTCCCCACCCACGTCCCCAGTCCCAGGGAGGGATGGCTGAGGAAGCTCCCCGAATCCCGCAACCTGCTCCTGGCCCACATTGAGGAGGGGCCTGCTCCTCAGGGACACTGGTTTCCTCCCCCAGTAATGTGACCACCTGGTTTTTTGCGTCTTGCCTCTTGTGGCTTTATTTGGGAGCTCTGGGAAGGAGAGATTTCCACTCCCATTTTACAGTTGTGGCAACTGAGGCTCACAGAAAGGAAGATTTCCTTGACCAAGGTCACCCAGGGAGTCTGGGCTGGCCAACAACTCTTAACTCAAAGCCTGGTGGTCCTGCTCTCAGCTGCCTCCAGGCACCACGGTTAGGGAGCTCTGCTTGCCCACCAGTCAGTGCTGGGCCCAACGCGCCTCTTTTTTGAGGGGTGGGAGGGGGGCTTCTCAGCCTGCCTGAGTCTGCTCCTGTTCTCAGGGCCTGACTTAGCTTATCTGCAAAACAGTCCCTGTACCTGCAAACAGCCCCCAGGCCCAAATGATATGTCAGGGTCTCCCTAGACCAGGATGGGGATAGGAAGTAGGGAGTTGGCTGCCTCCTGGGGGAGGGGGTGGATGCAAGGTGCAGTCCCTGCTTCTGGGCGAGATTGGATTTAGGGACCCTCAAGACCCTTTTACGGAGACCTCACTGAGAGCCCAGCGCAGAGGAGGTGTGGTGAAAGGCAGAGCAGTTAGGTGGTGGCCTTGTTGTTTGACCTTGAGCAAGTTGCTGCTCCAGCTCTGGGCCTTACTTGCTTCTTTCCACAATAGGTCTAGTCAGGATGCCTGAAGGAGAAAGCTCTCCTGATCTCCTTTAGGGCCTGCGGTAGAGAATTGGCATTAGGTAATTCTTGAGGTTACTGATGGTAATGAGAGTCAGGGGTTGAGGAAATCTGGGCCTAACGGGCCAGCCAGGACTAATTCTGTCCTTCTTTGGCTTTGTGGTCTGCAGCAAGTTACTTTCTTTCTCCTGGTCTCAGTTTCCTCAACTGTGAAGTGGGTGAGTTCCCCATGGGCCATCTCTGTCTCCAGTCAAGAACCAGGGTCCCCTCCCTTGCCAGCTGCGAGGGGATATTCCCTGAGGGAGGCATGTTTCCCAGCTGCCTCCTGCAGAGCTTAAAATAGCATCTTTAAGCTGCTTGGGGGGTGGGAGTGAAGGTCAGCCTGTTGTATTTTCTGATAGTGATCGTTCACACCTAAGCTTTACAAATCAGTGCAGCAGCCTTTAAGCAGTCCTGGGAGGTGATTATTGGGCTATTCCCATTTTACAGATAAATAAACTGAGGCTCAGAGAGGGGAGCGATGTGCCCAATCCTCAGCCAAGACTCTGGCCAGAAGTCAGGGTATTGTGTGTAAGAATGCAAGGGTCAACACTGTCATCTTTGGCACCATCAGTCACAGCTAGAGGCCTTCTGTCTGGTGGTTGGGTTTCTCGGCTCCTTGCCACTTCCTTTCCTGAGGTGTGGGTGTCCTTGAAGAGGCTGGCCAGAGCAGATTCCCATGGGCCTAGGCCTCTGTGATTCTGCACCCCTGAGCCTTGACACTGCCCGGACTTCAAGACAGCCTGGCACAAGAGGAGCAGTTGAGGCCACTGCCATGTCCCAGAGCACTCACAGCTCCAACTGACTGGCCTTGGACCTCACTTCTCTGAGCCTCAGCATGCCTACTTCTGAAGGTTGCTATGAGGACTTATCAGGATGGCACATGGGAAGTATTGTGTACTCCTCATAGGCAGGACTGTGGGCTCCCAGGATCTCAGAGGTCAGTTAGAACAGAGGTTCTCAAGCACCTGCCTGTGCTGTAGAAACTGCTGGGGAATTTAGTAGAAATCTAGGTGCCCTTGTTCCCCAACCCTCCAAAGATTCTGATCCAAAAATCTGGGGTGGGTCAGGAGTCTGCTGTTTAAGTTATTTAGGGGTTTCCTCTGAGTCTCTCTTGGCCTTTGTTTGCTTGGCTGGATTATCAGCAGGAATCAAGGAGGCTGTGTGTGTACACATGAGTGTAAGGATATGCACTTGGCCCACGCTGGGGGCTCACGACCCCAGTCACCTGTGGTGGGCAGGCAAGGAATGGGCCTGGGGTGGCCTGGAGAGAAAACTCATGCCCAGAGTGAGGTGGGTCAAGCAGAAATGAGGGCCCAGTGGGACCAGATTTTCTGCTTCCTTCCCCCCGCCACACACACAACACACTGAAAGGACAGATTTTTTTATGTCCCAGTTTTTAATCATTGGCACTAACTTCACTGCTGCCAGACATGGCCTTAGACCTATGTAATTGGCTCTCCAGTGTGCATTTACCACATCAGGCCTGCCCTGTGCTGGACACAAGCTGGTCACTGGGCCCTGCCCACCCCTCTGCCAAGTGCTGGAGCCCAGGTTGGGTGGGAGAAATGTGAATTTCAGCTCTACTGTGGCTGTGGCCTTGGCCCTGTGCTGTCTTATCAGGTGAAGAGCCTCCCTTTCAGGCTCATTTTGAAAGTCAGGGCCCATGCACGTAAAGCCCAGCACAGAGGAAAGGAACAAGGTGTTGAGGGGACAGTACACCGGTTCCCTAGCTGTGTTAGCAGGGAGGTGACACTTAAAGCTGGGTATGAAGGAAGCATAGGAGTTTTGTTAGATGGAGGCAGGGCTCCCTGTGGCAGGAACAGCCAAAGGCTGGTCCTGTTGGATGCGCCCTTCAGCATTGCAGGGTCTGACAGGTTCCAGAGTTTTCCCTGCCAGGGTCTCATTCCAACCTCTGGAGTTAATGAGTGGTCCCCCCAACTTCCCCCACCTGGACCCTAGCTCCTGCCCCGCCCCATTCTCACTCAACTTCCTCCCTTAGGTTTAGGTTCTTGCTTCCTCTTTTCTCAGCAAGCCCCACCTCCCACTTGGGGGCTGTGTTGGGTCTGGTTTGCATGCACTCCCCCCACACACAAAGGGCCTGGCTGCACGCCAGACCCACCAGTTCACCAGAGGTTGACTTCCTTCATCACGTCCTGCCAGAACCCTTGGGCTGGACCCCTTCCCATCAGCATCAGTGTGCAGCAAGAGACTGGTAGTCAGCCCACCTCCCAGCTTTGACACTTATTGTGAGGCCTTGGGCAAGTCCTTTCGTCTCTGAGCCTCAGTTTTCTCTTCTGCAAAATGAGGCTAACAGTACCTTACTTGAAAAGTAGGTGAAGTCCCATTTGGGTAGGCACTGTGGGAACAGATTATGGAAAGAAAGTATACAGTCAGCTCTCTCTATCCATGGGTTCCACATCCATGGATGTAACCAATTGCAGATTTAAAATACTTAAGGAAAAAAATTCCATAAAGTTGCAAAAAGCAAAACTTGAATTTGTCACTTACATAGCATTTACATCATATTTACATAACATTTACATTGTATTAGGTATCATAAGTAATGTAGAAATGATTTAAAGTCCATGGGAGGATGTGTGTAGATTATATGCAAATATTATACCATTTTATATAAGGGACTTAAGCATCCTCGGATTTTGGTATCGTGGGGGTCCTAGAACCAATCCCTCGTGGATACTGAGGAACGACTGTACTGACTTGGCTTGGACTGGGAACCCCGAGGGCAAGAACCAAGTCAGAACCTCTCACCTGTTACTAGTGGAAGGAGAACTAGGCCCCAGGCCTGTTTGCAATCCATCTTGAGCCAACCAGACAGAAGGGAGGAAGCTGGAGTCCCCTCAGGAGCCCCAGTTACCTAGAGGTCAGAGTTGTAGATCCCCACGCCAGGACAGGTTTTCCTGGAGACCCCACCCTGAGGGGGCCTTACCAGAGCCCCCTGGCCTGGAAGCATGCCGGCCAGCCCTCTGAACTTACCCTGAGGCGGACCCTGATCTCATTTCGCAGAGCAGGAAACTAAGGCCTGGACTCCCTGCAGGCCAAGCCTGAACCCTAGTGCCAGAGCGCAGCACTGCCTGGGGAGCCCAGGGTGTGGTGGGCATCAGTGGCCTCTGGAACCAGGCTGCAGAGGTTTGAATCTGTCTCCCCGACCCCTAATGCAGCAAGGGACTGGACTTCTCTGTACCTTAGTTCCTTTGTCGGTTTGCTTCCTAGGGTTGTGAGCCCTGGCCCAGCCCCTCCACCCCTCTGCCTCCCCTGATGCAGCCATGGGCTCTGGCAGTGACTAGGTGGCTGCCCTCTGCCCCTGTGGGTCAGCGGCGATTCTCTGCAGGACCCAGCAGCAGCCCAGGCCAGCTCTGGGGAAGGTAGGAGGGAACCTCCCAGTCCTGTGGAGCCCGGAGCCCCTGGTACTGGAGCTTTCAGCCTGGGCTGGGGCACAGGGGCCAGGGGTGGTCGGGCACAGGGCCCTGAGCTGTCTTCCTTCCCCAGTGGGTAGTGACCTTGGCTTCTCTCCATGCTCTGTGAATGAGCGGCCCCCGTCAGTGCTACTGGGGCTTCCTCTCTGTGGTGCAGCCCTGGCCGTGAGGGACCCCTGGCCAGCCCACCTACCCAGGATGAGCGCTTACCCTCCCAGCAGCCGCCGACCCGACCAGCATACCTCCCCGTAGAGGAGCGCCGAGCCTCGGCTCCTGCCGGCGGGAGCCCCCGAATGCTGCACCCAGCCTCCCAGCAGAGCCCGTTCATGGTTGATCTCCACGAGCAGGTAAGCGGAACCCCCCCACTCCCACGCCCCGCTGCCCCTGGCCTCTGGCGAGCCGGTCTGAGGAGCAGAGGGAACAAGCCCTGACTTCACCTTCACCAGAGCTGGCCCGGCAGGACTTTGCTTCTCACCTGGGGGCAGCAGAGTGGCCTCCCTACAGTTCCTGGGTCTCTCCTCCTGCAGGTGCACCAGGGACCTGTCCCTCTGTCCTACACAGTCACCACAGTGACGACCCAAGGCTTCCCCTTGCCTACAGGCCAACACATCCCTGGCTGCAGCACCCAGCAGCTCCCAGCATGCTCCGTGATGTTCAGCGGGCAGCACTATCCCCTCTGCTGCCTCCCGCCCCCGGTGAGTGAGCGCCTGGGCCTCCTGCCCTGCCCCCAGCTGAAGGCCCCAGGCACAGGCCAGTGTCGGAACTGAGCTGAGCTTACAGCGCCCATCCAGGCTGTCAGTGTCTGCTCGGCTCCAGGCCACAGCCCTGTCCAGAACGGCATATGTGCGTTCACGTCCAGTGGGAGGGCACTTCAGAGTTCAGAGACCTCCCTGCTCCCAGTTCCTGCTTTATGGTTTGGAGTGGTAACTGTGGGTCTTAAGAGCAAGACGTCCTGCCTGGGAGGCCTAGGCCAGGGATGGATGGTCCAGAGGCCTTTGATTGGGACCACTCGCTGGGTGGAATGGCCCCTGGCCCAGCCACAAGCAGACCCAGCCCAGAGCCCAGAAGAACATTCTCCAGCCTCTGCCCCCTTTCTCAGCAGCTGATCCAGGCATGTACCATGCAGCAGCTCCCTGTGCCCTATCAGGCCTACCCCCACCTTATCTCCAGTGACCACTATATCCTGCACCCTCCACCGCCAGCCCCACACCCCCAGCCCGCTCATATGGCGCCTCTTGGGCAGTTTGTGTCGCTGCAGACCCAGCACCCACGTATGGTGAGTCTGAGCGATGGGTCTGATGCTAGAGGGGATGGCAAGTGGGGCAGGGAGGTGGGGGCTTTCCTTGTCACTGACTCTGCTGACTCACCCCTGCTTCTCCCAGCCCCTGCAGCGGCTCGACAGTGATGTGGACCTGCGGGGGGATCAGCACCCCCTGGGGAGCTTCACCTACTCCACCTCTGCCCCGGGCCCAACTCTGTCCCCATCCGTGCCCCTGCACTACCTGCCCCACGATACCCTGCACCAGGAGCTGTCCTTTGGTGTGGTAAGTGCCAGTCCCCACCCAGGATCTAGGGTGACCGGGAGACAGGCCCATGGCTGACGTGCACCGGGCCCCCCTCTTGCAGCCATATTCCCACATGATGCCCCGGAGACTGAGCACCCAGAGATACCGCCTACAACAGCCGCTCCCGCCACCACCCCCGCCGCCTCCGCCACCACCGTATTACCCCAGCTTCCTGCCCTACTTCCTGTAAGTACCTGCACATCTGCCCCAGAGCTGTGGTGCCCTGTTCTTCTGGGGCCTCTAGCGGTTAGACCCAAACACAGCCCCGTGGGGTCCCGGGGCCTCGAGCCACCTAGCATCCCCGCCAAACCATACATGCACACTCACGCTCACCAGCTGGGCTCCCTGCCCTACTGCGACATCTTGGGACAGACACTGGGGTCCCTGGTGTGAACAGTGCAGAGTTCTGGGCTTTGTTTCATGGCGGGAGTCGGGAGCAGCTCTGCGCCCCTTACACCTACTGACCTTGACCCCGGGCCCGCGTACCTATCTCCCCCTAGCTCGATGCTGCCAATGTCACCAACAGCAATGGGGCCCACCATCAGCCTGGATCTTGATGTGGATGACGTGGAGATGGAGAACTATGAGGTCCCGTGGAGCCCTGTCCTGGGAGGTGGGGGCTTGGGGGACTTCCAGCCCTGGCTGCCACTGACCCTCCCCTCCTGCACACGTCCAGGCCCTCCTGAACCTGGCAGAGCGGCTGGGAGACGCCAAGCCTCGCGGCCTCACCAAAGCGGACATCGAGCAGCTTCCATCGTACCGCTTTCATCCCGACAGCCACCAGTCAGAGCAGACGCTGTGAGTGCCCTGCGCCCCCTCCTGTCTCTCTGTGAGCACAGATGGGTTGCGGTCTTCCCAGGGTAGCGCTTCGTGCTCTGCCGCGAACCTGCCCTCGCCTTTAGTGTGCGGGTGACGCTCTGTGCCCTCCTCCCAGGTGTGTCGTCTGCTTCAGTGACTTCGAGGCACGGCAGCTGCTCCGGGTCCTCCCCTGCAACCACGAGTTCCACACCAAGTGTGTCGACAAGTGGTTGAAGGTAACGTAGCCACGCCCGCTCCCAGGTGTTCCTGGTGTAGTGAGGGAGGAGGGTGGACTGGAGGGCTTCCCTTCGTGTCCTCTTCAGCATCCAGAAGTTCCGGCTCCACTCAGGGAGCCAGGTCCCCACCGGGCAGCAGAACAGCCCCGGATGGGTTGGGGGTCCGGTGAGAGTGGAGCCTCATGTGCGGCTGCTCCCCCCAGGCCAACCGGACGTGTCCCATTTGTCGGGCTGACGCTTCCGAGGTGCCCAGGGAGGCTGAGTGAGGTCCACAGCCACCCAGGAGAACCCTGCCCAAAGCTCTGGAAACTCCGGGGGCCCCGGAAGGCCGGGGAGGGCGTGGCCCAGGCCTGCCCTGCCGTTCCTGCCTGCATCTCCAGAGCTGGTGCCAGGGTCAGCCCGAGAGAAGCCCCTGCAATAAGCCCTTGCATTTGCCAAGCTCCAAAGACTCCCTCCCCGTTTGCCCACCAGTCTAAAAGACGCCCGCCAGGGAGCGGCCTGAGTCCCTAACTCAGTCTCTCCTGTTTGCCCTCGGGTCTGTCTCCTTTTCTTGCCGGCCCTGGGAGCCAGGGGTTCATTCCCCTCGTGTGGCTGGTGGAGATCCTTGGCCCCGGGATGGGCAAAGGGGGTGCTGTCCTCGGTCGCCTGGTCTCTTGCACTGAAGTGGTGTGCTCTCTGCTCAGGTGGCACTGACAGGCGTGGACAGACAGTGGCAGGAGGCCAGTGGGTTCTCCTGCCTTGACCCCAGACAGACTCAGGCAGCCAGCCCCACCCAGGTTGCTGTGGGGTGGGGCTGGCTCCCTAGAGGACCCTCACCTCGGGTACAACATTCCTGCCCCAAGCCCAGGCTGGAGGGCATCAGAGCCAACCTCCCGAGCAGGTGGGAGGCAGGCCCTGACCCGGGACGGCATGTATCCTGAGGGGGCCTGGACCAGGCCAGGGAGAGTGATTTCCTGTGTTGCTGGTGGCTGCCCCTGCCTGGCGGTGACAGGGCCCAGACCCATGCCCCATCTCCCCTCTCTGTCGTTTTGCATGAACGTGAGGAGCAGCAGTTTTTGTTTATTCATTTGGCCCAAAATCACGTGTAGGATTTGAGGGTGTGGATTTTTTAAACAATTTCTTTTCTTTTGGTTTAATGGGCGGGGGGGTGTATAGGGACCAACAAGGACCAGGTGCCCAGGGGCAGGGAATGGTCTAGTGGTGCCGCCTGGTCTGCATGCATGTGCGCGGCTGGGGCGGGGCCAGGCGGCTGGCGGTCATGGGTGGGGTTGGGGGGGCGGGGGGGGGTCTGTGCTCAGCTGATAACTGCCATGCACTGTACTGCACACGTCCCCAGAGCCTACCGGGACCGTACGCTTTTCAGGGCATTTCTCCCTCTCTAGCCAGGGCCTGTCTCCCACCTGCCTGGGCGTGTCTCCTCCAGGGAAGTCCCAGGGGGACAGGGTCCAAGGAGGGTGTGGACCCCGCCTCCAGGGGCCCCCTCCCAGCCTGAGCCCTGCCCTCCAAGACCTGGAGGAGCCCCCGGAGGGTCTGGCCGAGCTCCCTACCCTCACCCACCCGGGTCCCATTCCGTTTCTTCCTCACCCCCCCGCTGGGGTTGCTGCCCCGAACGAACCGCGTGTGGGGCCGGCACATCCTAGCAGGCAGCCCCTGGCGCCTGCTGCCTCAGGGATGCTCCAACCACCCTCGTTCTCCCGCAGCGGCCCTGGCCCACCACCTCCCCCCAGCCTGCCGTGGGGCCCCATCAGCCTGGCCCCCACCCCATGGAGAACCCAGAGTCTTACTGTATATAACTCCAGGTGACATTTCTATATTTATAGCAGTGTTGAAACCCCACCTGTTTTACACAGAGAACTACCCTCTCCGACCCCCTCCCTTCCCCACCCCCCAAAAAAAAGGTTTTCGAAACCCTTAACGGTTCCTGGGGCAGGTGGAAACAGGCTCACGGATGGTGTGTTGACTGCAGCAGTGATTCCAACGAGCAGCTATTGGGGGGGAAACACAACATTTAAAAAAAAAAAGTAAAAAAAAAAGATTTATAAAACAATTATTTAGGATGTTTGTGATTTGCCGACCTTGCTATAGATGCCATGTTACCAATGATTTCCTGTGGTGGGGGCTTGTCATTGTTTACTCTTTTATTTACCAACTTCTGGCCTAGGCATGACAGTGGGTGCTGTCCCCCAGCCCTGGCTGGGCCCAGTGCCTGTGTTCTGTGTTAGAAAGGTCTTTTATATATATATATATATATATATATATATATAAAATTACATATATATATATAAATATATGTAATTTGGGGGGCCCTGTTCCTTGCACATTTTACAGTTACCTCATTTTTCCCATGTATGTATTTGAGAAAATGCTAATATATAGAGAAAAAAATGGTTCTTAAAGCTTAAATGTGTGGTTTTCTCCATTCCATTGGATTCACATTGGTTTGTAGCATTTAACATAACTAGTATGTTGTATTATATATGTGTATACTGATTGAAATTTTTAACAGATTTGTACTTTTTTTAAAATGAAACTTGCTAGTTCTGCTTGACCAAGTAGTGCAATCATTATTTTTTTTAATATTGTTGCTGATTTCAGAGGGATATTCACTAATAATAAATGTATGATGTATATCGAGTACTGCCCAAGCTGCCTTTGACTGCCTGTGTTCTCATCCTTTTGATGGGAAGCGCGCATGGGGGTGTCGGTCTGAGGGTGGGTAGGGGACAGGGATGAGGGGGGCAGAAAAGATTGTTCTTCGCTGTGGAATCTTGGGGGAAATGATACCTCCTGATGGAAAGGGATCTACAGGGCCAGTTCAGTGACAACTTGCTCCAGGCCACACTGCTTCACGGGCAAATTAGGATTCTGTTGGCAACCGACAGGATTCCATCTAACTGGTTTGAGGGAAGCGGCACTTAACTAGTCTGTCATTTAAGTTCTGGAGGGAGGTTCTGCTTCAGCCTGACCAGATGGGGTTCAGGCATGTCCTAAGGAACCAGGTCTCTCTTCATCTTACAACTTTGTTCTGCCTGGTGCTTCCTGGTACCTCTAGCTCAGTTTCTTCTAATTTAGCATCATCTCCATGCAAAAACTGTTTTTCCCCCCCAGTAATTCTAATAATTCCTGGTCTGGAGTCTTGTTAGACCAACAGGTTGCACGCCCATCCCTGAAACGTGTGCTACCGTTAGGGAGCTAGAACAGCATGACTGGCCCAGCCTGCATTACATACCCACCACCCATGGACCCCACTGAACCTATAAGGATTTGAGCCCCTGATCCTCAAGCTCAGTGGGGACGAAGGGCCCGAGAGCCACTAAAGGGGCCAGACTGGTGATGTGGGTACGTTCCTCTTCTCCATGGTGGCGTGTGGTATGGCAGGGCTGCCCGCTGACTTGGTAGTATGTCAAAGCAGCATGGTCAGGGGCAGGAGACCTGTTGTGCCTGTCTGTGATGCCACTATCTGTGACCTTGGTCAGGGGACTTCTCTTTCAACCTTTGGATCATCGGCAAATTAAGGGTCAGACTCAGTTGAGTGGCTCCCTAAGTGTGTTTCAGAGAAAGTCTTGTGGAACATAATGGAGTTTGTGCAAAAAAGGACTCTGGTAAGATAAGTTTGGGAAATTCCATGTTGAGAGTAACAGCCTATATCGCAGGGCTTTTCTGAGCCTTGGCTATGCTGATGTGTGTTGTAAATGTCTAGCAGTGGATACATACTCTGGGCAGCATTTCCTACATTGGGATTCTTTGGCCACATGCCAGGCCAAGTTGCATTCTCTGGAACACACTGAGGCATGGTGCACTAGATGAGTGGTAGGAGCTGAGTTCCCAGTCTGAGCGAATTGTCAGATGGGGAAGTCTCTAAGCTTTTTTTCAGTATTTCAAAAAGCCTGTAGGAAAGGAAAATCACAGATCGTATCAATGGATGCAAAAAAATTTTTTTGGCCAAAATTCAACATTCATTCATGATAAAACTTGACAAGATCATCTATACAAAAACCTACAGCTAACATCATCCTTAATGATGTGAAAGACTAGGTGCTTACCAGCCCTGAGATCAGGACAGGCAAGGATATCTGCTTTCACCAGTTCTATTCATCATACTGGAAGTCCTAGCCAGCACAACAAGGCAAGAAAAAGGAAATGAAATTAGGAATGCAGATTAAAATGGAAGAAATCAAACTAACTCTATTGTAGATGATATGATGAAGATCTATGTAGAAGATTCCAAGGAATCTACAAATAACTAGAACTAAATGAGTTCGTCAGGTCATAGGATATAAGATCAATATACAAAAATTAATTGTATTATTTCTACATACTAGCAATGAACACATGGAAATGGAAATTAAAAACCTGATGATACTATTTACAATCACTTGAAAGACAAAAGAAACATGTAAATCTAACAAAACATAAGACTTGTATGTTGAAAACTACAAAACACTGATGAAACAAGGCAAAGACCTACACAGAGAAACATGTCATGTTCTTGGATTGGAAGACTCAGCATAGTAAATTGTCATTTCTTCCCAAAGTAATCTCTAGGTTTAATGCAATTCCTATTAAAATCCAGCAAAGTTTTGTGGGTTTTTTTGACATATTGCCATGCTTATTTTAAAATTTACATGAAAAGGTAAAAGAAACCAGAGTAGCTAAGACAATTTTTAGAAACAAGAATAAAGTGAGAAGAATCACTGCCTGATTGCAATATTTCACTGAAGAGATGCATTAAGACAGTTTATCAGGAGAGGGATAGACAAATAGATCAACGGAACAGAATAAAGAACCCAGAAATAGACCCACACAAGTACAACCAACTGATTTTGGAACATTCAATGAAGAATAGTTTTTTTCAACAAATATTACTGGAGTAATTGGAAAGCCATAAGCAAAAAGAAAAAAATCATAAATTTAAAGGTGAAACATGAAACTAGAAGACGTTTAGAAGAAAACAAATGAAAATCTTCACTGGGATCTAGGGCTAGGTGAAGAATTCTTAGGTATGATACCAAAAACTCCATAATGTTCAACATCACTGATCATTAGAGAAATGCAAATCAAAACTACAATGAGGTATTACCTCACACCAGTCAGAATGGCCGTCATCAAAAAATCTACAAGCAATAAATGCTGGAGCGGGTGTGCAGAAAAGGGAACCCTCTTGCACTGTTGGTGGGAATGTAAATTGATACAGCCACTATGGAGAACAGTATGGAGGTTCCTTAAAAAACTAAAAATAGAACTACCATACGACCCAGCAATCCCACCACTGGGCATATACCCTGAGTAAACCATAATTCAAAACAGAGTCATGTACCACAATGTTCATTGCAGCTCTATTTACAATAGCCAGGACATGGAAAGAACCTAAGTGTCCATCAACAGATGAATGGATAAAGAAGATGTGGCACATATATACAATGGAATATTACTCAGCCATAAAGAGAAACAAAATTGAGTTATTTGTAGTGAGGTGGATGGACCTATAGTCTGTCATACAGAGTGAAGTTAAGTCAGAAAGATAAAATCAAATACCGTATGCTAACACATATATATGGAATCTAAAAAAACCCCAACAAAATGGTTCTGAAGAACCTAGGGTCAGGACAGGAATAAAGACGCAGACGTAGAGAATGGACTTGAGGACACGGGGAGGGGGAAGGGTAAGCTGGGACAAAGTGAGAGAGTGGCATGGACTTATATATACTACCAAATGTAAAATAGCTAGTGGGAAGCAGCCACATAGCAGAGGGAGATCAGCTCGGTGCTTTGTGAGCACCTAGAGGGGTGGGATAGGGCGGGTGGGAGGGAGACGCGAGAGGGAGGAGGTAATGGGGATATATGTATATGTATAGCTGATTCACTTTGTTATAAAGCAGAAACTAACACACCATTGTAAAGCAATTATACTCCAATAAAGATGTTAAAAAAAAGAAAAAGTCCATAAAAGAAAAAAACTGAAACTTGAACTTCGTCAAAAATTAAAACCTAATTTGCAAGTCACATATCTGACAAAGGACTCATGTCAGATATATAAACAGCTCACAAAACTCAGTGAAAATCAATCCAATTAAAACATGGGCAAAAGACATCAACATACATTTTAGCAAAGAGGATATTTATTGTGTTCAACACCATTAGCCATTAGGGATACACAAGTTAAACCACAATAAGATTATTACACCTATTAAAACAACTAATATAATAGTGACAATGTCGAATTCTGACAAGGATACAGATAAATTTGATTTCTCATACGTTTTTGGTGGGAATGTTAAATAGCACAGCTACTCTGGAATATAGTTTGGCAGTTTCTTTTTTATATTTTAAAACCGTGTTTAAAATATTAATTTTGATGCAGTCTATCATAAATAAGTCAGTAGAGATGCATCTGTGAAGTAAGAGCCGTGTGCCATTGGTTGGTGAGCACTGTTCCAGCTCATCCCAGCCAGAGCGCACACCTTCCATGTTGTTCCTGTCCATTGATTGCTTCCAAATCCAGATGACCAAATAGTCATTGACCCCAAAGTAAGCTCAAAATAGGTTGGCTCAGCCATTCCCAGCATCTGCACCCCTCTTAAATCCTGGGTAAACCAAGATAGGCATAAAAACCCCCAGCAAGTGGCAAATTGGCCGCTCTTGAAGAGCTGCTGCAGCCCCTGCTCTGCTGCTTTGCCCAGCTTCACCATGGTAATGGCCCAGCATTTTCTTATAAAACTGAACATGCGGGCTTCCCTGGTGGCGCAGTGGTTGAGCGTCCGCCTGCCAATGCAGGGGACACAGTCTGGGAAGATCCCACATGCCGCGGAGCAGCTGGGCCCGTGAGCCATGGCCGCTGAGCCTGCGCGTCCGGAGCCTGTGCTCCACAACGGGAGAGGCCACAACAGTGAGAGACCCGCGTACCGCAAAAAAAAAAACAAAAAAAAACTGAACATGCACTTACTATATGACCCACCAACTGCACTCCTGGGCATTTTATCCCAGAAAAATGAAAACGTGTCTACACAAAAAATATACACACAAAAGTTCAATAGCCATTTTTATTCTTAATATCCCCAAACTGGGACAACTCAAATTGTCCTTCAATGAGTAAATGGATAAACTGTAGTCCATCCAGATGGTGGAATACCACTTAGCAGTGAAAAGGAATGAATGATTTTTTAAAAAAAATATGTATGTATGTATGTATTTATTTTTGGGTGGTTGGGTCTTAGTTGGGGCACGTGGGATCTTTTTTTGCAGCACACGGGCTTCTCTCTAGTTCTGGGCGTGCCAGCTTAGTTGCCCCGCAGCATGTGGGATCTTAGTTCCCTGACCAGGGATCAAACCCACATCCCCTGCATTGGAAGGCGGATTCTTAACCACTGGACCACCAGGGAGGTCACCAGGAATGAACTATTGACACTCGTGACAACTTGGAGGATCTCAAGGGAATTATGCTGAGTGAAAAAAGCCAATCACAAAGGTGACATATAATTCCATTTTTACGATACTGTTGAAATGACACCATTAGAGAGATGGAGAATAGATTAGTGATTGCCAGGGGTTGGTTAAGGATGGGGGACTAAGGTGGGATGTGTGTGACTACTAAGGGGTAGCAGGAGCAAGATCTTTGTGGTGATGGAACAGTTCCATATGTTGATTA